CATTAATTTCTTGACGATCTAATACAATAAGTTGGGTATATTTTATAACATTCATTAATCAAAACCTGTCGTGTTATTATTATAACGTAACATCAAGGAAGTTAAGAAATTTGCAACTGGGCAGGAAGTCATGGAGTTATGTTACTTTACAGCAGTTATGTTTGAAGATAAAAGTATCATTCTGTCAAAAGTTGCTCACATTGTTTCATCCATGTCAGAAGAACGTTGTAGACATTGGTTTCTCCAGAAAGGAAGAACGTTGTAGATATTGTTTTATGTAGGAAGGGAGAACGTTGTAGATATTGTTTCATGTAGGAAGGGAGAACGTTGTAAATTTTGTTTCATGTAGGAAGGGAGAACGTTGTAAATATTGTTTCCTCCATGAAGGGAGAACGTTGTAGATAGTTTATTCCAGGAAGGGAGAACGTTGTAGATAGTGTTTCCTCCAGAAAGCAAGAACGTTAAAGATATTGCCTATTCCAAGCATGGATATCGTACATACGTTAGTCTTAAATCGGAGCAGTATGAGAATCGTTGAACAATGTTGATTTGAATCAAACACTTCATGTACTGTTATTCATAAGTTCGAATATATGTTGTGGGTTTCAGTTTCAGTATTTCTGAGGTAAACAACATCAGAAGTAATTAACTAAGAATTTATTCACAGTTCTTTCACGAAATAAATAAAATGTTGGTGCTGTCAAAAGTCTTCAAAAATATGAGGATTACAATCACGGAAATGTTAATAATACACGTTTCAAATGATATTATCTTTTCAGTGTTTAATTAAAGAGCCATTGTGATTAAACAGAGGATTATATAATTTCATTGGTCTATCGTTCCTTTAACAGCCTCCAAGCCCTGGCAACAATAGCAACAATATAACTGGATATTACGTCGGATATAAAGAAGTGGGAAAAGACGATCCTTACGTCTTCAAAACTCTCCAGGTCACCCCCTCATATCAAGAAAACTGCACCTTAAACAACTTGAAGAAGTCTACAACTTACAGCATAGTGGTCCAAGCCTTTAACGATAAAGGGTCAGGACCACAAACAGAAGATGTTAGAGCTCAAACCCTGCTTCAGGGTAAGAATTAGGAGTAGATGTGTGACGTAACAATTATGTGATAAGTGTTTCTCGTACACTAAAATATATTATTCGTTTTCCTAAACGTGTTCGTAGTAATAACTCACCCACGTGTTTTTGTCCTAAACGTGTTCGTAGTAATAACTCACCCACGTGTTTTTGTCCTAAACGTGTTCGTAGTAATAACTCACCCACGTGTTTTTTTTCACACGTTTTTGATTTTATTAAAGATATTAAAGAGTTTATCGAGATTCAACACATCCAACTATCAAATCTGTCCGATTCTTTTCTCTGCGATAGACTTTCCTCCGACCGCTCGCCTTCGTATAATCACATCGACTGCTTCCTCCATCCAGCTCTCTTGGAAACTATACGGACACAATATGGAGGCGATAGAAGGTGAGCCGATCTTCAACTTCAGCATCTACAGATCAATGTAACTCCCTAAAACCTATATACTTTCCAATAGAAACATCTTCAGTGTTGATTAGGAAGATAGAGAGAACAGTAATAGTTTTTCATATAGTTATTTTACGGACGCTTCTTGTTTATTGATTATTGTAAGATATTTCGTGATATATGGAAACTATACGGACACAATATGGAGGCGATAGAAGGTGAGCCGATCTTCAACTTCAGCATCTACAGATCAATGTAACTCCCTAAAACCTATATACTTTCCAATAGAAACATCTTCAAAGGAATAACATGACATAATTCTTTTAACATTCCCATAGTTTTAGGTTTGTTATACACTCAGTTTCTACCTTCGTCGCACAGCTCACATCGCCCTCTACATTTTTATAAGTGAATACTTAAATTTGAGATAAATAATCTTCCAAAATAGAGAAAACAGTAATAGTTTTTCATATAGTTATTTTACGGACGCTTTTTGTTTATTGATTATTGTAAGATATTTCGTGATCACAATTAACAGCTCTCCCTACATATTAATTCACATATTGGTATACGCCACTTCATCACAATTAACAGCTCCCTCTACATATTAATTCACATATTGGTAAATATTACTTAATCACAATTAACAGCTCCCCCTACATATTAATTCAGAGATTGGTAAATAATATTTCATCACAATTAACAGCTCTCCCTACATATTAATTCACATATTGGTATACGCCACTTCATCACAATTAACAGCTCCCTCTACATATTAATTCACATATTGGAAAATATTACTTAATCACAATTAACAGCTCCCCCTACATATTAATTCAGAGATTGGTAAATAATATTTCATCACAATTAACAGCTCCCCCTACATATTAATTCACATATTGGTAAATACTACTTAATCACAATTAACAGCTCCCCCTACATATTAATTCAGAGATTGGTAAATAATATTTCATCACAATTAACAGCTCTCCCTACATATTAATTCACATATTGGTAAATACCACTTCATCACAATTAACAGCTCCCTCTACATATTAATTCACATAGTGGAAAATATTACTTAATCACAATTAACAGCTCCCCCTACATATTAATTCAGAGATTGGTAAATAATATTTCATCACAATTAACAGCTCCCCTACATATTAATTCACATGTTGGTAAATAATATTTCATCACAATTAACAGCTCCCCTACATATTAATTCACATATTGGTAAATACCACTTCATCGCAATTAACAGCTCCCCTATATATTAATTCAGAGATTGGTAAATACTACTTCATCATAATTAGCAGCTCCCCCTACATATTAATTCCTACTTTGTTCAATGTGAAATCGAATCTTTTCACGTTTTTCTAACAATACCTGTTTATAAACCAATTATGATCATTCTAGTGTACCTTCTCTTCAATAACACAGTAACTTCTGAGAGACGTAACGTATGAAAGCAATATAATTATTGCTGTAAAGTGCTTTCTACTCTCATCTAGCATTATATAACAGTATTTTTATAATACGTTCGAGTAAAAAGAAAACATCTTATGTATAGACAGTAAAATGTTTCTCACGTGTATGTATTAACTATTCATCTTCTGCCACCATAGGGTACCTCTTGTTCATGAGACAAGGAGACAGTGGCTGGAAAGAAACTAATCTGTCTGGAAGTAAGACCAGTCACGTTATCAGCAAGCTTCGGTGTGGGACGAGCTATGAGTTCTATCTCGTTGCTTATAACAGTGTGGGTAAGGCCGACCCAAGTCAGGTTGTCACTGGAGCGACTACTGGAAACGGTAATCTATAAATTGTACTAAAATCAAAAACGAAGATTACACGAAATGTATTCGTCAGTAGAAGAATTATAAAGGTTGAAACGTTTTGATACAACCCTGTTTGTCTGTGATTCGTCAGATTTTGTTAACGGTGTTTGAATAAATATCAGTTTATATTCTGTTTAGGTTAGGCTTAGAAAATTGCGCAATTTGAATGCGCAATCTAAACTTTCTAGAAAAATACGAAAGAAAATATACACATATTTTTATCTCTTTCTATTCTTATGGTTTCGTACAATTCATAGTTTCAAATTCTGTTCGCTTGGTTTATATGTCGCCAACAAAAACACAAAAAATTAACGTAACAATATCTCAGTACAACGTCTAGATAATTCGAAGAAACTTAGAAACTGTTTCACAAAAATACTGACCTCTTAATACACAAGAAACTGATCAGTTGATGTTGAAAACCTAGAAAGCAATTATAAAGAAATATGAGCAACTTAATATATCTTTAGATTGTTTGTTTGTTTGTTTTTGGAATTTCGCGCAAAGCTACACGAGGGCTATCTGCGCTAGCCGTCCCTAATTTAGCAGTGTAAGACTAGAGGAAGGCAGCTAGTCATACCACCCACCGCCAACTCTTGGGCTACTCTTTTACCAACGAATAGTGGGATTGACCGTCACATTATAACGCCCCCACGGCTGAAAGGGCGAGCATGTTTGGTGGGATGCGGATTCGAACCCGCGACCCTCAGATTGTGAGTCGAGCGCCTTATCCACCTGGCCATGCCGGGCCTATATCTTTAGATTCTAGATGGACAATACAAGAAACTTGTTTTCAGGTTTTTCGTACCTCTTTGTTGTAGTTTTCATAATAGCATGTGTTACTATTTTTCCTGTGCAGTTCCTCAAGCTCCTGATCAAAATACTGCTCTCGACATAAACGATTCGTCAGTAGTTATCCGTTTGTCCGCTTGGAGAGCTAGAGGCTGCCCCATTACTCATTTCCTGGTAAAGTATAGGACAGCTAACGAAGGAACGTGGAGACCAGTGTCGCTCCATCTGTCGGCAGATCGAGAAAACGTTGTTATCAGTGGATTAACTCCAGGCACTTCCTATTCGGTTCTGGTTGGTGTTGAAAGTTCTGCTGGCTATACAGAAGCCCAGTTCGATTTCATGACTAAAAAACGAAACTCAGGTAAAGATGTACAGCCTATTAAACTCAGGTAAAGATGTACAGTGGACACAGCTTGAGGTTAAGCCTATTAAACTTAGGTAAAGATGTACAGTGGACACAGCTTGAGGTTAGGCATATTAAACTCAGGTAAAGATGTACAGTGGACACAGCTTGAGGTTAAGCCTATTAAACTCAGGTAAAAATGTACGGTTTACACAACTTGAGGTTAGGCCTATTAAACTCAGGTAAAGATGTACAGTGGACACAGCTTGAGGTTAGGCCTATTAAACTCAGTTAAAGATGTACAGTGAACACAGCTTGAGGTTAGGCCACGTAGACCCAGGTAAAGATGTCCAGTGAACATAGCTTGAGGTTAGGCCTATTAAACTCAGGTAAAGATGTCCAGTGAACACAGCTTGAGGTTAGGCCACGTAGACCCAGGTAAAGATGTCCAGTGAACACAGCTTGAGGTTAGGTCACTTGGATCCAGGTAAAGATGTACAGTGGACACAGCTTGGGGTTAGGTTACTTGGATCTAGGTAGAGATGTACAGTAAACACAGCTTGAGGTTAGGTCACTTGGCTCTAGGTAAAGATGTACAGTAAACACAGCTTGAAGTTAGGTCACTTGGATCTAGGTAAAGATGTACAGTGGATACAGCTTGGGGTTAGGTTACTTGGATCCAGGTAAAGATGTACAGTGAACACAGCTTGAGGTTAGGTCACTTGGCTCTAGGTAAAGATGTACAGTAAACACAGCTTGAGGTTAGGTCACTTGGATCCAGGTAAAGATGTACAGTAAACACAGCTTGAGGTTAGGTCACTTGGATCCACGTAAAGAGGTACAGTGAACACAGCTTGAGGTAAGGTCATTTGGATCCAGGTAAAGATGTACAGTAAACACAGCTTGAGGTTAGGTCACTTGGATCCAGGTAAAGATGTACAGTAAACACAGCTTGAGGTTAGGTCACTTGGTTCTAGGTAAAGAGGTGAAATGAAAACAAACACCTTGAATTTAGTCTACTTACATCATGCAGCAAAGTGTCTTAAAAAGTAAGCGAATGAATTTCAAGTATTGGGAAAAAACTTATTTTCAAACGAAGATCTGTTCTAGTGTTCTCAAAATTCTGATTAAAGTATTCCATAAATGCTTTTGATCGCTTGTTTATTGTCAAACGCCTGTTTATAATTATCCCGTGGGTCACGAAAATTAGTTGTTCTATATTTTATACACGAAGTTATTTATCGATAAACAGTTAGTAGTCATCTGTACTGTATGTAATTTTTTCTAGTTGTCTACAGTATTTCACAAATCAAACTTAACTTTCGAATCCGAACAACAAGCTCGTGGTTTTATGAGACGAAACATGTAAATTAACAATCTGTACAGTAGTAATTTTAATGTCTATTCAGATGTTGCTAAACGTAGAGAAGTATCTTGTAGAAATAGTTCAATACATTAATCTGTTACTAAACCATCCCGTTTATTATGTTTCGTATAATAACTCAATTAATATGATTATTTTTTGCCTTTGCCGCTGAGGAAGGTAGGTCCACGTGTTGAATGCCTCAGGGCATTCTTGTTTTTTATTGTTAGAATATTGTTCTTGTGTGAACGAGGTTAAACGTGTTTTAGTTAATATTGTTACGTCTGTTCGTTTGTTAATTTCCCGTAAAATTTCTTTCCGAGGAACTTCAGCAATACAAGTCCTTTTTTAAATAAAACTAGTTTATTCTTTCTCAATACAACTTTGCAATACACAGAATTTCCACAGTCACTTTAACTTAAACACACGCTATAATTCACAACAATTCACGCACTTTACTTACGACTTGACTCGATTATCTGTCTCTATCTCTTCAATCTGCAATTATTCCGATCAATTGTCTGGCGCGCTTATATACAAGAATAGAGGGCGCGTAGAAAAGACTAGAGTTGCCACGAACAGACATGATCCTTCTATAATCTCATGACGTGTTACCAGCGTCACGCGACTTCCGCTGTCGTAACAATATTATGATTGCTTTTATTGAACTAAAAACAGTATAAAGGAAGAGTGTCTTGTTATATAGACACGTAACAAGCAGATCTGTATTCCTATCTCAGAAATTACAGATTAAAGGGTATAATTCAACCAAAACGTAAAAAATCGAGATTCGTAGTGGTTAGAACACAGATAGTCCACTGTGTAATTTTGCGCTTAACAACAACCCACCCTAAGTAATAATTTGTTTGACATGTTTCCAGTTACATTTATCAGGTTCTAAAAAAGATGTTTACTGTTAACGAGAATAGCTTGTCACGTGAGAGTTAATTTTGACGAGAATAATTTGTCACGTGACTTAGAAACTGTTGGGGAAGCTGCTACAAAAACTGTTTTTACAACAACACTCTTTTTGTAATTAAGAAATTGTGTTCATAGAGAAGTCCTATTTTGATTTTTTTTCCGTTGCTACTCTGTGTCGTAGCATTTAATATAGATCAGAAGTAGATATGCATTTGAAGACAATCCTGATTAGGTTTTCTACAAAGTTTAATAACTCCATCTCCGTCCACAGACCTCTCCTCTACGTCAGCCGATACCTCCACCCAAGACCTACAACGAACCGTGGCAGTGATAACTTCCACAGTATGTTCAGTTGTGGTGTTGATCGTGATTCTTGTAGCGGCATGTACGGTGTTAAATAGACGGAAGACTAGCCGATCCGAAGCCTCGGTAGCAGGCTCAAGTAAGACACAATCATCTCTATTCCTATAATAATGGAGGGTTTTATGCACGAGAACATAGATAAATATTCAAAACACGATTTTCAGGTGCTTTTATTTAAACCATTTTTGTTACACTGGAAGACTAACCAGTCTGAGAATGATCAACTTATATTACTGTTCTTAATGTTAAGAATATATTATTATTGTTAATGTTAACAATATAATCTTGTTGTTAATGTGAACAATATATTCTTATTGTTAATTACAATATTTAAAATAACGTTATAACACGTGTCTAAATTACAATATTTAAAATAACGTTATAACACGTGTCTAAATTACAATATTTAAAATAACGTTATAACACGTGTCTAAATTACAATATTTAAAATAACGTTATAACACGTGTATAAATTACAATATTTAAAATAACGTTATAACACGTGTCTAAATTATAATATTTAAAATAACGTTATAACAGGTGTCTAAATTACAATATTTAAAATAACGTTATAACAGGTGTCTAAATTACAATATTTAAAATAACGTTATAACAGGTGTCTAAATTACAATATTTAAAATAACGTTATAACACGTGTCTAAATTACAATATTTAAAATAACGTTATAACACGTGTCTAAATTACAATATTTAAAATAACGTTATAACACGTGTCTA